GTTTATGTTTTTGGTGGGTTTTTTTTTACCACTTTTTAAAATCTTAATTTTATTAGAGCAGGACATTCTAAAATTGATTTCAAGGTCACTTATATTCTTAGAGTTTAATTTGTGCTCTACCTAAAATATTGAATCTGATACCCTGTATTTTCCATCTCTTCCTTCTTTCAAAAGTATAATTTATTTTAAATTCTAAGACAAATGTTAGTCTTTGACTTAGGTTGATCTTCATTATTACTAATGAAAATTTATTAACCTGTCTCCACATGCTGAGAGGAAATCAGATCATAAATGGATTAAAAGTCAGTGCATGACATTTCTCTGGTCTAGGATCTTTGAAATTCACTGGAATATTCTGCAGTTGATTAGCCCATGGAAAGATATACACAACATCAATTTCACATGCACTGAAACAACTGCTTGGAGAAAGAATCTCCACTCCTATTAGATAGCCATAGGGCTAGAACAGTAAGCACAATGTTTTTAGCAGCATATTTCTAATTATTTTAATGAGGGGATGAAAATTCTAGGTCTCAGTTTGAGATTAACTCTGTCTCTCTTGACTGCCTTCGCATATGGTGACTTTCAGGCCGGTAACCGTGATAAGGCAGTTCCCTGTAAGGGACTGAGCAGTTGTGGGGAGGGGTGCGGTGTGGAGGGGCCTGCGATTGCCACCTCTACTTGGGAAAACCCTGAAGTCAGTTCATTTCTATTTGACAAGAATTCTCTCACAGACATACTGTTTTATTAGACCGTAAGCAGAGACTAGCCACATGGCATGTTTGTTCAATTTACAAACATTCCAAGTTTAAAAAGTGACAGCTCTCTCTATGCTTGCCAGTTGGAAAATAATTTATCAGAACCATTTTCTCCTGGGAGAAATTTAGCAATTAACCTCTGCGAAGATAAAGACCATTCAGGGCCAGAGGCCTGAGAACCTTATATCTGCAGGCCACTCCCCAGAAGGGAAGCCCCGCACAGAGTTCCACTCTCCATGTACCCACACCCAGCCCCCAACACTGATTCATTTCATTTCCTTCTGACTTGCGGAGTCATCTGCTGAGGATTGTGAAATGGCCATTAGGATTCAAGATGCAAGAAGAGATGATTACAGCCTGCTTTGCACGGTTGATTTGAATGCTTGTTCTAAAACCTTTTACTATACCGAGGGTGGACAGACAAGAAGCTGTGTCTAACTCAGTTCTGCCTCAGAGGGCTATGTTGGTGACAGTTGACATCTTAAACCACGCCTTTCCCATTTCCCAGACTCTTAACACCTCCTTCCCCCCATTTGGGAACACACCTTACAATATTAGCACGAGTGATGCTGGAAGAAGCCCTGGGAACTCAGTATGCACTGAGGCTGCTGTGGGTTCCGGCTGGACTGCTAAGCCACCGGGAGCTATGGTGATTCAGAAACACTGCAGTTAAAGGCGAAATGAGAGGCAGCATCAATCTTTAAAAATACTTACCTTTAACTCCCCCCTCACCCTCCCACAATTCTCCATCTGCAGCCTCTTCCCCAGTCTCAGAATAGGAGACCCAAGTGCCTAAGCAGGCAGGTCCTCCAGCCAGTCTGCCATGTTTGAATCCCAGCTCTGTCACTTCTTCATGGTGACCTGTGGCAAGTTACTGACTAGACTGTCTGTGCCTTGCTATCCCTCTCCATGAAATGGGTAGAGTGAGGGTGCCTGCCTGGTGGGAGTTATCATGGCCTAAAGGAGGAAACATACCTAAAACACTTAGAATGCTGCCTGGTATGTTGTAAGTGCCCAATAAATGTTGGATGTCACTACATTTTATGTGGGCAGATTGTAGATGACACATTTGTCAGGAGAGCACTCTTTGGACTTTTAAGCTATACCCAACCTGTAAAATATCACAAATCTGCCCCATTGCAGGCTTCTAAGACACTGGTACACAAAGAGAACCCTTCCAAAGCAAGAAATGCTGTGTGGTAATTGTATCTCCATTAGGCTGATTAGGCTTCTACCATGCTCAAGGGAAAGCCAGCAGAGACACTGGAGCTCAGGAGTACAGACGGCCAGGCCCCAAACAGGAGAGCAATAGCTTCACAATGAGCAGGACCCTCTCCCTTTTTCGCCACCGAAGCCCCACATTTTCCCCTAGGTGGATCTAATTAAGTTAGTGCTTTAAAGAAAAGTAGCACTTCCTTCTGGGTATTGTTCTTTCTATTTCTGCTTACTCTCTAGGACACATTGTACAAGCTGCAAGGTCTTTCTAAAAGTGAAACTGAGTTCAGAGGAACAGGCTGTGCCGCCAGCACTGACCTTTCCTGTTAGAAGCCATTCCAAACTGTTCTGGAGCTGATAGATGTGCAAACTATGGGCTTCTTCCCCCACACCGCCCCACCTCTGTATATCTGGGGTGTTCTGAATGCTTAGAGGTCTTTTGGGGTACATAATAATGATCATTAGAAAAATTAATGTGTGTTAGGAATTTGTTGGTGCCCAGCTCTGAGCTGAGCACTGCAAATGCTCCCTCATATTTAATGCTCTATGTGCTACCCCCAAGAAAGAGGGCTGGGAAGGAAAGTCCTGACAAGCCCTCTGGTCAGCAATAGACTAGGAAAGGGTTTATTTGTTTAGCTATTCCAAGTGCTGGAAAGCTGTGTACTCTGATATCAGGGCTGAGCACAGCTCAAACTTGTAGGAATACACCTAAATAGTTTGGCTATTTTAAGTTTTTGAAAGTGGTGAAGACAGAACAGACTCGTGGCAGAAACCAGTTAAAAATTCTCACCAAGACCTGATGGAAAGTCTATTCATTCATTCATTTACACATACACCAAGCACCTATTGTGTGCCAGCCATTGTAACATATATGTGACAATGAACAAAGATTCTCGACCCTTATGGAGCTTATATTCAAGGAGTGGTCATAGAAGTACACTGAAAAATATGTGATTTAAAATAGTGACCTAAGGTCTAGGACATAAATTAGCAAGGATACTCTTAGATAGGGCAGCCTCTGAGGTTGTGGTGTTTGAACAAGACCTGTTGGGGTTTACATGAAGGATAATGCTGTATGATTACATAGCAGAAGGAGTACACGGCAGAGGCCACAGCAAGTGCAAGGGCTCTGAGGCAGGATGCTGTCTGGCCACGAGCAGAGTATAGTGAGCAAGGGAAAAACTGGTGGGAGAGGAAATCAGAGAAGGAACAAGGGGTCAGATCATGCAGGTCAACAGCAATTGTTTCAGTCTTTGAGCCCCTCCTAAGCTTGGGTCATTACTGTATTTAAATTGTCATAAAAACCCCTGGTGTAGGACTAATTACTCCCTTTTATGCTGCCTAGTGCCACCCACTGAATGGTAGAGGTCTGCTGGGATTATAGAGCCTCCAAGTTCATCAGTCATGATGGTCTCTCCTGGCTTGCTGCTGACCAGCACTCTCTCTACCTCTCCATCGATTGGAATGCATTCTTAGAGCAGAGAAATCTGTTTGTTTTTTTTTAATGCGACATTTATTTACTAGCTTCATTATTTTAAAATACTTGCCTTAACCTCTCCTCATACTTGGGCAAGGTCTGATACCAAGTGAATGTTTTTGCACCATGGCCTTAACATGCCTCCTACAATACTTTTTGTTCTTTTAAACAGTGGTAAAAAATAACTAGCAGGGAAAAATAAATAGAAATTTAGCAATAGATCAATAGTCCATGATCTCTGGACTCCATTTCATAAAAGAGAGCTGCCTTTCCCTGTTCAGTGTATAACACCGAGTCTACTGCGTGTGGGAAAATAATGCGGGTCTGAAGTTAGTTACTGGAGAGTTCTGGGACTGTATCAGAAATGAAATGAAGCCATAAATAATTCTAAAGATATTTTATAATAAATATAAAATTAAAGAACTGAAAAATATTCAACAAAAAGCTCTCTGGTCCGTATTAAGGAAAACAATACATATTTATTTTCTCTATACTTTTATGATTGTCAGTGAAAAGTGAGAAAATGAATGTTTTCATCTTATCTGCAGATGGGCCTATAAGTAAAACCTGGTAAAATCGGTTTAAGATGAGAGCGATTCAGTCTATCCAAAGAACCAAGGGCTTGTCTTTTGAAGGGTGTGCCCAGATTCCCCACTGAGTCTTGTCTGGCACAGAAAGTAATAGAACTTCATTTCTAAATATGGTGATGGCCACCATAACACCTTCCCATTAGAAAGTTACTGTTCAGCTAACTCCATCATAATTTATCATTTTATTGCCAGTTATTAAAATGTAGAGATAATCTGGTAGTACCAATGTCCCAGGATAATAAATAGGGAAATCTTCTGTTCCCTGCTAGTAAAAGTAGTTTGCTAGCACTGCTGTCACACGGAGTCACAGACTGGGTAGTTTAAACAACAGAAATTTATAGTTCTTCTGTCTTTGAAGTCTGAGATCCTGATGCCGGCCAGGTGGATTCTGTCTGTGGTCTGTGAGAGAGAACCTGTTCTATGCCTGTGTCCTAGCTTCTAGTGGTTCACTGACAATCTTCAGCATTCCTGGCTTATAGATGCATCACCCCATCTCTGCCTTCATCTTCATATGGCATTCTTCGTGTGTGTGTGTGTGTGTGTTTATGTCTCCATGTTCAAATTTCCCCTGCTTATAACAACACAGCCATATTGGGTTTGGATCCACCCTGACGACCTCAGCTTAATCTGACCACCTGCAAAGACCCATTTCCAAATAAGGGCACATTCTTGGGCTCTCAGGTTTAGGACTTCAGCCTCTTCAGGGGCTGGGGAAATTTAACCCATAACAATAGTGTACAAGAAGGCCAAACAAATAGAACTCTCTCCCTTTGTAGGATTCTCTTGGATAGCCCTAAGGATGATGCCTAAGGAGAAGAGGAACTTCATAGTAAACAAATCATCTCTTTATGTGGGCTTTGTATTGTCAGCCAGAGCTCTCTCCTTGGTGTGTGTTGGGGGTGGGGGTGGGGGGAGTTGCATAACTTCTGGTGCACAGCCTAACTATCCCTTTGCTAACAGGGCAAACTTGGAGTTTAACTATGCCAAAGGACTTCAGAAACTGGCAATTAAGCTGAGCAAAGCAATACAGACCACAAAAAAAAAGTAAGTATGTGGAGGAGATAAGGTAAAATAATTCTTAAAAGCAATCAAAAGGGACATTTTTTCAGTTCCATCTTCCTGCTATCAAGGTAGCAGGTGCATGACGGCAAGCATGGCTTCCAGGTCTCGGGCCCTGACTATGAGCTGCATGTTGTGTTAAATGCTTTTATAGACTCTCTCACTTAATCCTCAGAACCCCTGAGAAAGCTTATTATTGTACCTGTTACAGACAAGGTCTTCAGTCTTGGAGAGTTTAAGACACTTGCCCTAGTCACACAGATAAGGAGTTGATGAGCTGGATTCATCCCATGTCTTCGTGACTCCTACAACCTTAAATTCAATAGGTCGGTGATGATAGTTAACTTGGAAAGCAGTGTTGTTCATTTGGAATGTCTTGAAGTCAAAAAGTGTGAATCCTGCTTTCTTTCAACTGTCTGACCTTCACCAAATAAACTGGCCTTTCTGCACCTTGACTTCCTCCACTGTTAGAAGAAATAATGATATATTCTCCATGGTGTGTGCATATGGGTGTGTATATGGGGTGGTGTATATTCAATGAGAAAATGTATGGAAAGAGATGAGAACATTGGGTGCTGAAATCTTCCTCAGTGCTTTTCAGAATGAAGTTGATTCCTTCTTTGGAGGCAGAGAAAGAAGATACTGGTATTGTAAAACACGGCCCATTAGTGATCATTTGTTAGGAAGATTCTTGACTAATGCTTGCAGATGTCTGGCAATACCATTGCAAAAGCCTCTTTTGATGGTGAATGAGAGGGAAAGAAAGAAAGGAAGGCTTTGAGAGCTCATATTCTCATTACTCTTTAGGCATCATCTGTACTCGCAAGTGTTGACTTCGAAAGTGCTCTGACTTTTAGCTTGAACTTTAGGATAGTGTGTTAGTAGACTTATGGGACTTTGGTTCTGTCCCACTTATGGGACTTTGGTTCTGTAGTAGACTACAAAGGGGTCAGTATAGCACAGTGGTTCAATAGAAAGACTTTTCTTAGACTACCCGAGTTTAAGTTCTAGCTCTACCACTTACCAGGTAGGCAATTAGGAAAATTTATCTTACTTCTAAGTGACTATTTAAAATGGAAATAAAACCCATCTCACATAATTGTTGTGGGGATTAAATACAAGAAGTGTGTGTACTACCTGGGACAGAACCAAAGTCCTGTAAGTGTTTGTTGATTCTGATTCTAATTGCCTTCTAAATGTGGGGAGGTGGAGGAGGGTGTGGGGGAATAAAGGGTGATAAACAGAGACTCGACTTGGGGTGGTGAACACACAATACAGTGTACAGATATTGTGCTGTAGAATTGTGCAACTGAAGCCTGTTTAATTTTGTTAACCAATGTCACGCCAACTCATTAAAAAGAAAAAAGTAATTACTAAAGAATGAGAGGTGCAGGGTGGAGGTATGTGTCATGTTGCATTGCAGCCGGAGCATCCAGCACGGTGCTCCCAGAGAGCTGGCACATCCAGGATGTTTGGTTAGCCAGGATCAGCAGTCATATTTAATAATAAACAGTAATTGAACTTGTACCTATACTCAAGTCTGTGTTAGTAACTAAGTCTTGCATTAAGTAACCTGAATTATTTCTAGCTTAAAAGTCCAATTAAAGGAGGGTCAGAGAAATCAAGTGATCTCTCCAAACTCACACTGGCAACAAAGCGGGGATTGTGGATTCACAGCCCCTCTGAGGACAGCGCCCTCGGCTTCGCCCCCTGTTTTCTGGCATCTCTGATGGTAAAATGTCAGCTTCTCTTCCCAAAAGTGTGCCTGGCTTCCCTTTTTAAAAAAATAAATTCAACTGAGTTTTAATTTATATGCAATAATAAGCACCCATTTTAAGCGTATGATTTGGTCGATTTTGATTTTTGTATACACTATGTAGCCACCACTAAAATAAACACAGACACAATTCATTGATGCAGACACTGGCCTGCAGTGTCTGTGTCATTATGGACGAAATGAGACATTCACATGGACTACCGGGTCTGGTGGAGGAAAAGGGACAGCATGGCTTTTCTCTCAAGGGAAGCAAAAGCCTTGGCCCTTGCCATGACGGCCTCCGTTGGGTTTCTTGGCACATTACATGATGGTCCTCATTTACTGTGCACAGGTTCGCTTTAGGTGGTTACCTTTTACAGAAGACAAAGGAGCCAATGCCATTAATCACATCACAGAAGAGGGATATTTGCAAATGAAAAGGCAAAAGTGGTTGAACCGGTTATGCTCATCCTTGGAAGGTTTAGCATGGATTTTAGGAAGTTACTTTGCAGTAAATGTCCTCGGTTCAGGGTGAGGGAGTTTTTTAGCAAGAGCAACACTCAAAGTGGCCTAGGCACATTGCAGGCCTGATTCCCCACGAAAGAACCTATCCATGGGCGTGGGTCCTGTGCATCTCTGAGTGGGAGCTGGGCCCATGCCTCGCAGAGCAGTCTCCTACATTTTGTTACACAAAAGGTTCTTCATGCCTATTTGCAACCCTGCCCCCACAGTCTCAAGCAACTACTGATCTGCTTCCTGTCAATGTATAGATTTGTTTGGTCTTTTCTGGAAGTTCCTAGAATTGGAGGAATACAGGAGGTACTCTCTTGTTTCTGGTTTTGTCTGGCTTTGGGCATGCAGAAAATCTGGTACCCTTTGATCCAGTTCTCCCATTATCTGACTATAGGGTGCAACCTAGATCATTTGCAGGCAAACATTCTGCACCGTCCTAATGTCAGTAAGGGCACTGATCTGCCCCTTCCTCCTCCCTCAAAGGCCACACAGGCTCTGTGCCCAAAGTTACTGATGGAATTGTAGGCAGCTGTGAGTCCTGCATGCCCCTTCCATAGAAGAAAATGGTATCGCACTTCCTAATCCTCTCTGTGCTGCTGAGGACAGTACAGTGTCATCCTTATGTTGAATCAAGATACTGCTCACTAGGCCATAAAATATCTGAGCTGTTGTAGTAAAATCCAACAGGGAACAAGACCTGAACCCCAACCCCAAGAGCAACATGCAGAACATGGTCAGGGCTCTTGAATCTTCTGTCACTTCTTCACTTCTCTGAGCCTCAGTTTATTATCTCTGAAATAAGGAGCCTGAAAAGATTGTCTTTAAGGGCCTCCTACCCCTAACATGTTGTCTCCTGCCTATTCTAAATGCCTTCTCAGCCTTGGCTATTTTATTTCCCCGATTTTTTACAGACATGAAACAGAAAATGAAAATCTCAAGAAAAAATGACTGAAAAATAGCAGTTTCTGTAATGAATATAGTGCAAATAAATATGTTAGCAGCATTTAATCCCATGGAGAAATTGAAATAAGATTAGGGATACGAGTGCAATTGCTGAATGCAAGGAATCAGACTTTCTGGGAAAATGACGCATTCTTGTGCCTCCTTGTTTTTGCCTCCAGCTGCGTCATCAGTGCCTGGGCCTGGGTCTCGGAGGGCATGAAGTCTGCAGCAGACCTGCATCAGTGAGTGCTCCCACCTCAGCCTCCTCCAACCCCAACAGGAGTCGTAAATATTTAATGTGGGTGTGCGACCATACTCCACTTCAAACTTGCCGTAACACACAGTTTTATTTCCCCAGAAAATAATTTGGAAAAGCAGATATAAATCCTAATGCTATAGTTGTGTGTCTCTTATGTTCTTTTTCCAGAAAACTTGGCAAAGCAATTGAGTCGGAAGCAATAAAACCAACTCATCAGGTCCTGAGTGTACATGAGAAGAAGAAAAAATCAGTGAGTCAAAATCTTTTTCTCTTCCCTGTTTAAGCAAGATTTCTGTCTTTGGCTCAAGAAATAAAAGATGATCTAAAAATCATCCTAGGTTTCAGAAATTAGTCATGAAAATAAAAACAAACCCAAATATTTATGTACAAGGATGTTTGTTAAAACATTTTTGTAATAGGGAAAAACTGGAAACTTCTTCATTACCCAAAAATAAGTTATAGTTAAATTCAAGCAATGGAATACTATGTAACCATTAGAGATCTTATCATAGAAGAATTTAATGACATGTGGGGAGTTTTTTTCTATATAATGTTAAATTAAAAATCAGGATTAAAAAATCTATCAATATGATCTCAATTTTGTAAAATATGTATACATGGAAGAAGCTCCTCAGACTGTCAATATGAATTATCTTTAGAGAGTGGAACCAGAGGTTATTTCATTTTTTGTACTTGTTTGTTTCCATTGTCTTTCAATAAATGGATAATCCTTTTATAAATAAATATTATAAACACATTTTTAAAAAGAAATGCTGTTCTATTCTTAATAGCTTGGGATTACGTAAAGGCAATAATAGGTATAAATCCTCAAACAGCCTGCAAATTAAAGAAAAATAGCTAAACACTTCAGGGACACCTGCTCCAACTGTATAACATATTCTCCAGTCCGTGTACTTTTCCTGTCAGAACAGCTTCACTTGTGCTCATTTTTCTTTTTATTTGTGTGTCATACAGTTAAGGGCTTTCAAATATATTTTCAGGCAATATAAGGTGTGTTTAATAAAAGTTGCTTAGCTCTGATAGGGGTGGCTCATGGTCACTATTTCAAGACCAGGTGCAGATAAGGAGTTCTGAAGCAATAATAGGTGGTCCTTGGGAAGGGGAGGGGAGGGGAGAGCAGGGGAGAGGCAGTGGCTAAGGAGAATTTCAAGTGATTACAGCCAGAAAAAGCAGGTCTGAAAAGTAGCAAGTCAGTGTGATGAGAGGATTTGTAAAAATTCTTGATGGAAGAAAAATGATAAAAAAAAATATTTTTACTCAGATTCGTTAAATGCAGTCAGGAAATGGAATTGAGGTTTGTGTGGACACACATGTATTTTTCCAGAATGGATGTTCTACTGAGGGCTACAGTGATGGGGGTATTTACAGTGATTATGAGAAAACAGTGTAATCATCTATCAGCCCTGGCCGGCGTAGCTCAGTGGATTGAGCGCGGGCTGGGAACCAAAGTGTCCCAGGTTTGATTCCCAGCCAGGGTACATTCCTGGGTTGCAGGCCATAACCCCCAGCAACCACACATTGATGTTTCTCTCTCTCTCTCTCTCTCTCTCTCTCTCTCTCTCTTACCCTCTCCCTCCCTCCCTTCCCTCCCTAAAAATAAATAAATAAAAAAATCTTTAAAAAAAATTATTTTTCTCTTCATAGCTTGATAATGAATTTGAAAAGACAGCGAATCTTTTCATTAGCAACTGGAATCAACAAATTAAGGTGAGTAACAAACATCTTTTGTGTGAACAAGTTTTAGGATTGAAGCTTTTTTACTTTTGCACAATAATGTGTTTTAGTGTTAGTATTTCTAAGTGCTAACTGAAGAGAAAAATGCTTCCTCACCCAAGTTATTATATAGATATACCTTTCCACTCAATCAGTGGAAGAGCAGGGCTCTGAATATGGATTTTCTTTATAGCCAACACATAGCATTTATTGTGTACGAAGTGCTATATCCTATATATTTAATCATCACAACACCCCACTGTTGTATGTGACCTGGCATTGTCTCATCTTGAAGATGGGTGGGGAAACTGAGATAAAGAGATAAATAATTTGCCTAAGCTTACAAAACTGGTTAATGCTTGAAACAGGAAGTGTTACAAGTTGGGCTCTAGGTTACTCTTGATCATTTCACTATGCCGACTGCCTCTCTGTATCATTTGTAACTTGGGGCAAGTGGCAAATACTCTCCGAGTTTTGGTTTTGTCATTTGTAGAAGGGCGTTTGTGATCTGTCTTACAAGTGAGAGGAGCACCATGAGGGGTGGGTGACAACGTGTGAAGGGATGTATGTGTATTCATTCTACAAGTATGTACAGTCCATTTATTGTGCACCACACTGTACTAAGATGTGGTTCTTATTTCCCAGTAATTTTAAATTTTATTGATAGGTAACATGTGCAGGAAATAGTGAATGAATTCTAAGGAGATGAATTATGATCTGGTATGAAAATTTAGAGAATATTCTATAGGTTCTTAAGCAGAGAGAATAACAGATTGAGCTCATATATATGCACAGAAGATTATTCTAGAACAATCCAGTTTAGGAGGAATTCATTTTTAGTAGAAAGGATGAGAGAGGGAATCTGCCAAGAAAACCCAAGGATATTCTTTGGACGGACTTGTGCTCCAAAAGTTGAAATTCTCCTTTTTTATCTCCCAAGTTCCAGGCCCCAAGGAGAACCTTCCCAGGTAGAGAGCCACCTGTATGTATAAATAACCAGAGACCATCAGAAACGGGTAGCCCATATATCAGACTTCGGTGTTGCTGCTGAAGCTTTTGCTGAAATAGAAGACTCCATGAGATCAAAAATATTAATAAGGAATGTTTGAGATAAATGAATTTCTATACCCACAATAGTAGTACTGATAAAAGTAAGCTCATGGGAATCACATTTAAAATACATATTTAAAAGTCTCAAAAACAGCATCCAGTCATTTGTTTTTAGTTTTGCTCTTGATTTCATGAACTTTCTTAAACAGAATTTGTTTTTAAAAAATCCATTCTCTAAATATTCAGCTTTCATGGGAAATTCAATGTAATGGACTAAAATAGAGAAAGCAAGCTCAGCAGCTGCAATTGCTTTCAGGAACAAAAAGCATCTTTTATTATTTCCCACTTTCCACCAATTAATTTTCCCAATAAAAATAATTTTATGTTTTATAAAGAGCAACAGAGAAATTAGAGAACATAAAATTCTTGAGCTACAATAAATTTGTTTCCAGTTACAATTCAAGGGACTCAGCAAGTCAGTAATGAAGTGCAGTCTGTTCTGGAGACACTGATGAAAAGCCTTAAAGGACCAAAGCTCTGGGCTCAAGCTCTCATTTATCTGTGGGCATGTGCCTGACCAAAGGTGGAGGAAGAGGGTCTAGAACCTTCTTGCTTCCCCCTTTTGTAGAGGTTTCATACATTTAGAGGTTTCCAGAAGCCTTTGCCCCTGATTCCTAAGGAAAAATAGACCTGAGTTTTTCCCTTCATCATCGGGTTTTACTGTTCTTCCTAAGGTGAAAAACCACACAGTCTTTCAATCAATCCAGTTTCTGAAGCAGACTGAATCCAAATCAAACTGAAATCTTTTTTTTATCTCTGGAGCATTACCTCCTGCCAACTTGGAACTGTGTAAAATAGAAAATGATCGCCTAAGTCATAACCTACTCTGAGGTTTGAGGCATCAATAGGGTTAGGAGACTTGGGGTGTTTCTTTCTTCCCAGCTTTCCCCAACCTCACCCCCATCTCACAAATGCAGGGCAGTTCATGAGATGTCTGGTCATCAGGTAGCAAAATTTCCCCTTGGCTGTAAGTTTTAAAAAATCATCTTAAAACAACCTCAACTGTGGCCCAGGTTGATTCATAAGAATGATGTGGGATTTCTTCCATGTTTGTTGTGTTACTTTTATTTTTATTTTTATTTATTATTTTTTTTTGTGGTAGAGCCATTCCCTTCCATCATGTTAGCTAGAATAACATTTGGAGGCTTGCAGGCCTTTGATGCTTTAACAAAATTTATAACCCTCTTGAGTGTACCCACAATAATGAAAAAATACACAGTGGTTCTCAGGGCAAAACCTTAGCCATTATGATATTTTAGGCAGGTTTTGAGGTGAAGGCTGAAATGAAGAATTATAATTACACGATCACTCAAGCTAGCACATGAACATTAACTTGTTCCAAAATAGAAGAGTTTTTCTTGATATCAATTTCTGCTCCTTTTTTAAAAAATATTTTTTGACTCTAGGCCAAAAAGAAATTAATGGTGAGCACCAAGAAGCATGAAGCACTTTTCCATCTTATAGAAAGCTCCAAGCAAACCATCACTGAAAGGGAGAAGCAGAAGGTAACGCGTCATGGCCAGCTGGGTGCATGAGGTTTGGAGACAGGTGGGCTCCCTGCCCTCAGTATAGATATGAGAAAGCGGGCAGAGGCCCCCTCTGTGCGGGGTGTCTGCAGAGTTGTAGTGAGTAAGAGTATCAGAAGGGATTCTAAATCATTCCTGGTCCATTTGTATTTTTATTTTCACATATCTTTAAAAGGTATTATTGACAGATGACAAAATAGACAAATGGTGTGCACATTTTTTAATGGGAAATCCTATTAATTAAACATTTCTCAGCTCACTCCCCAAATAAGTAAAAAAATATATATGTGTATATATATATATACACACATTTATTATATAATGTACTTTACTTATGTTGTGTGTAATATATAGTACTTTATGTATTGTATCAATATGTTATGAACATTATAAAACAAAAAATACAAATGTTTGACAGATGAAGTAAAAATGAAATAACATTTTAAGTGATTAGTTAATCATATTTTTACATAATCATTAAAGAACAGTTCTAGGCACAAATATACACTTGGGACAAGGTTCAGCCTTCATGTAGTAAATAAAAAGTCATATTTCTGATAGTGCTTTTGATAATCTTGAGGCTTTTGGTCACCTTCTTGTCAGATCTCACTAGCTCATCCCAGGTTTTGCCTTTCACGTGGGTGAGGACCAGCTCACAGCCAGGAGCAGGAGAAAGCATCAGTCCATCACTTTCTTGTGGCTTCCTCATGCTTGTGAGGAGGGACCCCCCCCCCAAAAAAAAAGAACAGAATTTATTTATAAGACACTGTATATTTATTCTTACATGCTTAAACTTCAGTCACCTTCAAAGTACTCCCCATTTGATGCAATACACCTATCAAGTCATTTTTTCTGCTGCTCAGAACAGTTTTTGAACCTGCTGATTTTGATGTCTTTTAGTGCTTCTGCCATTTTTTATTTCATCTCTTCCACATTGGCAAAACATTTTCCTTTGAGGACTGTTTTCATCTGGGGAAACAAAAAAAATGTCATTCGGGTCAAGATTGGGTGAATAGGAAGGGTAGGGTAAGGGGGTCATGGTTTTTGTCAAAAAACCGCAGAACACTCAGTGCAGTGTGGGCAGGCGTACTCATAAATCACCAGTCGTGAAATGGGCAATCACATTGAAAGAATCTTCCAAAAAATTCACTGAAGCCAAATGCAGTCTCTCACAACGCCAGCTGACACACTGATACAGATGGGTGCCTACAACCCTCACCGAGCAGGAAAACCTGCACTACAAGGGGCCCGCCCTCTGGAAGATAATTCCATTTGGGGGGCATCCCCCCTCATATATTGTTAGTATTAATATCAAACTATAGTTTCTTGGCAGAAATCTTTTTAAGAGATTTGTGCATTTTGCATTAACCTAATTAACACTAGATAATAAACCTGTAAATCCGCATGACCCTGACACATGTCAGTGTCCCAGGTGTCCCAGGATGCTGACACCTTCTCATATTGCAAAATTCCCACTCATCCTCCAGGACACTGTGGGATCCTCAGCTGTCAATCAATGTATGGGCAGCAGTGTCAACTCATATGTTAAATAAGAGTAAGCTTTAGGCAAAAATGAACCCAAATAACCCCAATAGATTTTCTCGCACACCTCTTGCGGTATGTGCCGAGACTGGAAAGCTTTGAAATCACCAGTATCTTCCCCAAAGGGTGGCACCCCACTAAGGAAGTGTAAGCAGCACCACTGCAACCAAAGACATTCTGAAAAGAAGAAAATTGTCTTTGCAGGTAACGCTGTTATTTCATCTGAAGAAGCTATTAGTTGAAAAACTTAAATTAATTGTTAGCAAGATTTTACGAGGTTCTTATTTCTTCACATGTCAGTCTTCACAGTTTGAAATAATCATAACAAGTATTGAATAATGAGACAGCTTCCAAGGGGGCGAAACCACAGTGCGTTAAAATGTTAAGTACCAGACCTGTCATAGGCATTTGAAGCCTGCAGTAGAAGCTATTCTTTATTGATGTCAAGCAATAGCAAAATAAGAAGGGTGGGCAGCTAAGTGGTAAATTTCCTCTTCCTTCCCTCATTAGAAACTTTCCTGGGAGGCTGAAGTCTACAGTGAGTCCTCTCCAGCCCTCCTCCAGCTGGCTCTGCATCCATAGTCCGTAGCTATCGTTGCATCACAGATCTCTACCGTCTGCACCACTGTATCTGTTAGGGGTTTTCTTTCTTTCTTTTTTCCTTTCTTTTTTTTTTTTTCAGTCCTACAGCTGAACAGCTAAGGCAGAGTTCACTTTCTCATCTCACATAGAAATGCCCCAATCTCCAGCCCGAGCTGAATTGCTTCTATGCTACTTGGCAATTCTTCCTGTTTTCTTGCTCATCAGTCCTTGCTCTCAGCAGAAGCTGATCTAAATCTCCATACTCACACCTCCATCCTCACCACCCACTCTCTGTAGACTATCTTGCTTCCTACCTCACTGAGTAAACAGAAATCAGCACAGCCACCTGCCTACAAATGTCATATGTACAATGGGACAGGCCAGTCCTTAACATGCTCAGTTCCCCATCCCACCCACTCTTTCAGAGATGCTTCTCTTGATTACACCCCTCTCCCTATGTCTTGGTCATACCACTCTCCAATAGTTCTTTCCCATCAGCCTTCTCAGCTTCCCCCATCTCTGGAGAGTCAGGGAGACACATTTCCACGGCTCTATTTCTGTTCCTCCCCAGATATTACTTCTTTTACACGGAGATTCAGTGAAAGAGGTGCCTGTGCTTTGTCTTTACTTCCTTACCTCCTATTAACTCCTCCAACCACCCCAATCAGCTTTCCCACCATTCTACTGAGAGCTGTTGCTGTCAAAGACAATGTCATCCTTGTTGCTAAAGCCAGTGGGTACTTTCCAGTTCTTACCTTATTTAACTTGGAAGCACTACGCATTGCTGACTTCCCCATTCCAGAACAGTCTCTTCCTTTAACTTTAGCAACATCTTACTCTTTTGATCTTTTTTTTCTGGAGATTTTTTCTTAAACTTCTTTACCGACTTCCCTTCTGTTGATTTACATTCTGCTGTTCCTGATGTTTTATATCCTGGGCCTCATGCTTCTTACCCAGCATGTTATCTCTGGTGTCCAGTAAGGTACTCTTAGTGCCAGGTGCTCAAGAAGTAACTGGTACTCAATAAATATACTCTCACAACTTCAACTAGAATGTCTATTCTGAAACAATACCTGCATTTATATCTTCAGCCCAAACCAGTCTCTAAACTGCATTTTGGTACATGAACCTCAGTACACCAAATTGGAATCCTCACATCCCTCTGCCAAAAATATTGTTTATTTTTGTGTTTTCTATATCTTTGAATATCACCAGCCCTCATATCTTCCCAGTTTTAACTCCTGAGACAAATACTTTTTGAATTTATCTACTTGTATTTCTCTCCACTGCCACTACTCTCTCCCAGGCCACATCATCACTGCTTAGATTGCTGTAACTGACAAATGGGTCTCTTGACTTTGTATTGCCCTTTTTAATTTCCCACATACATGCCAAGCTGACCCTTCTGAAACACCAATCTGAGCATATTATCCTCCTTTGAAAAGCCTCCAAAGTCTTCCCAGTGACCTCAGAATCAAGCACAAGCTCTTTTATGTGGTTCTCAAGAGGCTTCCTGACGTGACCCTTGCCTAATTTTTAGCATCACCTTTTGCTGTTCTCCCTCTCAGGCTGTGTGCTTCAACCTCACCATTTTTTTTTGGTATCATGCCATGCTCACCAATTCCTACTTTTATTTTAGGTTTATCCACATAAGGGTTGTTTCTGTGAGCACCCACTATGTGCCAAATCTCAGTTTATATGTCATTTTAAGTTCCAGGATAGTTTAGGTGACTTTTTTTTGCCCTGGTGATACCTAAACAGTATATCACCCTGGGATCTATCACACAGGCTAGTAGTGTGAGTCTCTGACTAGAGAAGGAGCCTACCTAGTTCACATGACACACTGTGGCACTCAATAAATGTTTGATGAATGAATGAGATCTTTTTTTCTAAGAGAAAAAAAAGTATGCAGTCTTTCACAAATTTTAGCAAATTTTTTCAGAAAAGTATCTTAAATAAGAATATAAGAGTCTACACTCTCCATTTATATTGATTTGGGCTTACTAGCTGTAGATTTGCTGAGCAAAAACTTCTGGTCAATAGCTATGTAGAGTAGGCTGATGAATGTGAATGTTCATCTCAAAAGTAACTTTGTTCTCATTGCCGGAGACCTGAGCATTCTCAATAAGCATCTAAGGACATGACTTAGCAGAGTATATCCATGGCATGCTTTTGGCCCTTTCACTATATTGTTATCAGATTAAAATTCACAAGCTCATGTTTCTGTAGATAAATGTGGTCCATTATACTTGATGTACAAAACCAAATGTGTCCTGTGTAAGTCGTATATCAGAGCTGAGAGACAGTTGAATGGCTAGTATGTCAATTGGAATAATGAAGTGAGTGGTGTTAATATTCAGAATTTTGGATGAATGTTCTTCATTACTGAAATGTTAGTCAAAATGTCCTTAAACATAAAGAGAATTATTCTTAAAAGCCTTTGTCTCTGTCCTTGAAACTCCTAAATTGCTTCAGTCAGAGAGATCCTTAGTACTCCTTAAAGTGTGGTTTGAGGACCATTTGCATCAGTACCATCTGAAAAGGTAATGAAAATTCCAATTTCCTGATCCCACTGCAGAACTCCTGAGTCAGTAAGGCTACTGTGCAATCCTGAAAATCTGCAGTTTCACAAGCACCCCAGGTCATTCCTATATGCATTAACGTTTGAGAATCATTCATGCAATACAACTTCTTCCTTTCTCAGAGACATGAAATTACTTGTCTGAGCATTTCAAGAATCAATTTCAGCTACCCTGGTCCAGAGAGTTTTGTATTACTGTGATTTTCCAGAAGGTTTCACAACCAGAATGGTCAAATTTAGTGATTGGCAAGAGAGGGTTCTTTGTGAAGGAGGAGATCACTGGGGAGTAGAGTGGAAAGAAGGCATCTGTCAAGCTGCCCATAACTTGCAGTGAACATTGGCATGTGTCTCGCTCAGGCTCTTCACTAGTAATAGTAATACTCACTGACTTTGACTGCTATCCAAGGTCTCAGGCAGTGTGCCTTGTGCCTCACCTGTATCACCTACTTGAATCCTCAGAGCACCCCAGCAACATAGGAGCATCACTATCCCCATCACATAGGTCAGAAAACTGGCTCATGAAGGTTAAGTAAGTCACCGGCAGGACTCTACTCCTGATGTTTGATTTCAAGTTATACTGCAGAGTTTATATAGTGAAAGGAGAGTAAGGTTATTGGACATTACTAAATGAGAGCCAGGAATAATCCTACATAGTTCTAAAAGTTATATGATTGCACATTTCTCTACCTGCCCTGTTAAGAAATGCCAGGGCCTAAAGGATTTGTCAAATAAGACTACAGGGATTGTTAGTAGATGACAGTCTTGAGTTGGAGATTCCTGATCAACACGCGCTTCTCCTGTCATTTGGCCCCCTCCTTGATTTGATAAAGTGATTTGATAAATATGAAATGATGTGCCATCACTTCGTGTTTAAGGACCTCGATGTCTTCATAAGAAAAACTGAAGGAATTATACTGAAAGGACTTTAGGTTTTCTTTCAGCTCTGACATCCCCTTTTTCTGAGAAAGATCTTTGATTTTGTCATCCTCCGCTATGCTTTAGGACTTTAGCTGGGAGATGACAAACATGCCATTAGAGGGAGTGTAACTGTATGGAATTACAAAGGGCTTCCATGTATGTGTTCATGAGTATGTGACTCTTATGGTTTACTCTAGCTCCTCAATAAACTGAAAAAATCCACTGAGAAGTTGGCAAAAGAAGATGAAAATTACTACCAAAAAAACATAGCCGGCTGTTCTACCAGACTAAAGTGGGAAAACACACTAGAAAACTGCTACCAGGTAAGTTATGCATTCAGATTTTTTTCTTCTTCCGTGGAGCTTCATGTGGCCTTAAAAATGGAGATTAAATCTATACTTACATGACCCAGTGATCTCTGTCCTTAGCTATGACCCTCACTGCTATTGTGACTTTAGACAAACCACATTACTTCTCATTGTTGCAATTTACCCATGGTTAAAATAACCAGTGACTGTTTATTGAATATCACTGGACAGATTTTTCTGATCCTAAGTTCTCCATGGACACAGTAACAGCTAACTTTAAAAAGTGCTGTCAAAAGAAAGTGTAAATTAAGTCTTAACTGTTAGGTACTCAGATGAGTTTTAGTTCTTGTTGCTGATTCATAGAGTCTTCACTTATGGAATCCCTTTGGACGTCAGACATTGTGCTGGACCCTAGAGATATACAACAGTTAATAAAGTGCCATCTCAACACTTGAGATGTGCACAACTTAGCAGCAAAAAAGACATATAGAGAAAGATTCAATTGTCCATTAAACATCAAAAAGTATGAACAAATCACAGGAAGGAAAATCAAATCACAAATAAACATATGAAAAGATGCTTACTCATTTGGCAAAAAAAATATTTTATCTTTTAAAAATTTATTTTTAAGTTATAGTACATTTGGCAAAAACGTTTAAAGTGATGATATGAAGTGGTACCAAATAAGAGCTATCGGGAAACAAGGTCCAGTCCCTCTCTAGTGAGGGTAATTTAACGCTGCCTGGTGAAACTGAAGTGTGCATGCACCCACAGTATGATGGTTCCCCTTTAAGACATATATCCTGAAAAATAATTTAGACTTGTATACCAAGGGTAAGGTCTAAACATGTTTATTGCATAATTGTTTATAATTGTATGGTGAGAAAAGTTGTACACAAGCTTCGTACCTATCAGTAGAGAAATTGCTCTTAAAAATGTGCTTGAATTAAGAAAGCAGAGGTCTGGTGAGTCATCCTTGCCTCACCAGAACCAGTATCAACTCCCTTGCTTTGTATTTCCTTGCCTTGGGTATAGTCAGTCTATACCACCAAGTCATTCATTAACTTACATATGACACTGTGCATCCTCTATCTGCTGTTGTTTACAAACTCAGGAATTAAATGTTATATTCATAAAGATACAATAAAACTGGGCTGATTTGAATTAAAAGAGAATTTTTATAAGTATGGAAAATAGAAATGAGATAACTAGGGAAGTTCAGTTTCATTATTTTTTTTTTAAATTTCATCTCCCCCATCATTCTTCTGCAAAAGTAGAATATAAGAATTTATTTCAGCATCCTGTGAAATGTCCTCTTCCCCCTTTCTCCTCTTCCTGTGGGATTCACAAACCCTTTCAGAAAGCATTCATTGGACTAGGTTTAAGGAAGTTCAGTAGATATTGTGAGAGGTATTACAAAGTCGTTAAGTGTGGCTGTTTAATAATGAAACCAATTCCACAATCCACATGTCAAAGTTAATCTTATTACTTCATAATCATACTATGTTTAAGCCATACTTCCTACCTTCCAGGAAGAAACATTTCAGTTGTTAGAAATAATCTATAATATAATTCAAAACATAATAGCCACACTACCAAAAATACCAAGAATCAAATGCTTGGTACTGACAGTGCTTACTCACACCATTTATGGCTTAGAAAGCCATTTGCAGTAAGTGTCAAGAACCTTAAAAATATTCACTTTCTCAACTAATGTTCCTTATGTGAACCACAGAACACAGAAAATAATCTGAGTGACCGCTTTCAGTTCTTCCGAGGATGCCAGCGGCTAGTAACACTGTGGAGGCAGAGGGGAGATGTTAACTCATTGAAGACGCTGGAAACATTAAGTCATTAGGGTTTAATTCTTTTTTAGAACCCTTCTGAAAAACTTAATGTCCTTTCTATAAATCTATCTTAAGAAAGTAGCTGGAAAATAAAACACAGATTTTTGTTCAAAAGACATTAAAATAAAAAAGAGGAAATAATCCAAATGACCAAATGACTAAATGAATCCATAAACTGTATGCAATCCTACACAATGAACTGTTAATTAACATGATGTTTGTGAAGACTGATGGCCTGGAAAACCACTTCTGTGTAATATTAAGTGAATAAAACATGATTCAAATTGAAATAATTTGATACATAAATAGAAAAACACACACATACCTAGGTAGACTGAAATACATCAAGATGTTAACAGCACTCATCTCTGGATGGAAGAATTATAAATGATTTAAAATATTTTTGTGTCCCATGTGACCCTAGAACAATGTCTCAGAGCACCTGGGTTGCTTGTTATTGCTCAGGTTCCTGAGCACCACCTTAGACCAGGTGAATCACAGAACTGCTGAATGACCTTAGGACAGGGTCTAGGTGATTTCTAGGCATACTAAAAGTTTGAGAGTTCCTGCTCTGTAAAAAGCATGCTATTCCTTTGATCAGTTTTATGAAGGCAATTTAGATGAAAATGAAGTCTCTCCAAGATCCTCGGGTACATAAACTTCAAGGCCAGGACAGCAGGAACTGAGAAGAATGAGTGAAGAGTGTGAGTTACCTGACACCTGGGCCTAAGACAGGTCCTGAATCTGCTGTCTCTTGGTAGCTCTGACCACACTTTCCTCATGTGCTGCACAGCACAGGAGGCCAGTGTGAGGTCCTCCAGAGTATCTTGCTTTTCTGTTGCCTATTATTTTTTAAAAGAACAGGATAATAGAAAGCAAAAATTCATTAAGTGGCATATGGATTTTCTCTTTGCACAATGGAATTTATCTCAGCTTCTCTTTATGAGCCAACATAGATCATTTTAATGATTTCCCTGAAATGTAATTAAAATTTGTGAAACATTACTATTTCCATCAAGAGGCACTAGCCATTCTAGTCTCACACTGATGCTAGAGGCTCAGCACTTATCAAAGTAAAGAAACAGCTGCCCAGTAGGGAGGCAGTGTGTCCCTAAACCTGGCCTTTCTTCTTATCTCTCCTGTCCTTCGCTCATGGTGCTAAACCAGAACAGCTGCTTTCTGAATTTTTTTCTGTGCTGTGAAGTCTCTTGTTTCCTGAAGACTGTCCCACATGAGGTCCGCAGAACAGAATTTTTGTCACATAGTTGTGAGGAGGCACGTGGTTCCTACCCTTTGAAGAGGCCGTGTGTTTGGTAGGCTGCTCTCGGTGTCTTTCATCCTGTGTCTGGGAGACTGAAGGCACATGGCCACATTCAAGTGGCTGCTGCCCGAGGTTCTGCAGAAAGACTCAGGAGACCAACAGCAGAAACAAAGACCTTTTGCTCCCATTGACTTACAAAAATTGTGCAGGTTGTGACTCCACAAAGAATGTGTCCAAGGGGTATGCAACTCCAGGCTTCTGATTCAAATGTCAAGACACTGGCACAGAATGAAAATTTGCATGTGATTAGCAAAGGTGTTCCCACTTACTGCCCGAGTGTTTCACATAGTTGTGTTAAAGTGACTATATACCGATACACAGAGTGTGGTATACGCTTAGGATGGAATATTCTGCCTTAAAAAGGAAGGAAATTCCAACACAAACTACAGGATGAAGCTTTCATTTATGCTAAATGAACTAAGCCAGACACAAAAGGACAAACAGTGCACGATTCCTGTTGTATGAGCTACCTAGAGTGGTCAAAGTCATCGAAGACCGGAAGTGAATGGTGATTGCCAGAGGAGCTGGGGGCAGGGCAATCAGGCGTTCCTGCTCAGTGGGCACACCGTTTCAGTTTTGCAAGATGAAAAATTTCTGGAGATAGTGGTGGGTGAGGGTTGCCCCACACTGCGAATGTACTTAATGACACAGAACTGTACATTTAAAAATGGTCACGATGGTAAATGCCATGTTATGTCAATTTTACCACAATTAGGAAACATAACTAAATTTTTAAAAATTTTAAATGTCTGTATACCATAGCTGAAATAACAGCAGAGTGTGAGTCATCACTCACAGGAATGTAAAGAAACACTCCACTGATGGGGCCGGTGGGCCCTGCAGGCACGCCAGCAGAGGCAGGACAGAAGCCAATGATCTTTGTGATTTTCCCACCCCAATTCTACCAAAATCCTTGATTCTTGTGGTGATGGTACCCACCAATTTGCCCAAAGCCTTCCTCGTGAAAAACTATCGCTGAATGCTCTTCACTGTGTGGGGTGCGGTGGCAGGTACGGGAGAAACCAACCTGGCCTCTGGGGTAAGGAGGAGTGCCCAGGCCTTGCCCTTACAAAAACAGGATGAGGAGTCTGTTCTCTTGGACACCTGCCACCTCTGTCAAAGCCAAAGTCCTCTGGGCACATACCCAGCTGCCCTCCTATGGCCGGAGAATCCCTTGCACACTCCACCTGACCCAGCTTTCTCCCACAATGCCTAGCTGCTGAACTTACAGAAACTCCCTCCAAATAATCAGTCAGCAACCCAGCTAGCAGTGAGTGGCAAGAGCCTAATGGCTAACTTTTTCTAAATGTTAAGAGCTAACAAGGAAAATGTGACCTCCCTTTCTTATTTACCCTTCCCAGCTAAAAGTTATGAAACGCCAAGAGTGGAATTCTCACACAAAATGGGGAAGCTATGTTTCCAGCTGCAAACAGTGGTCTCTGACCTCCTGGCTTAATTTCAGGCCAGAATTATAAATTGATGAGACTTTGGGGTTCTGCTCTTACCAAATAGTTTACTGAAGCAGAGAATTTGTCTCTCCATTTTGCCCTTGTAGAGATTAGCAGAATGCCTTCTATGCAATGTAACAATTCTAGATATATTTAGTTTCTGACTGCATTTTAGACATGGGTTTTAGTGGACTTTCACTCTCTTTCTCTGAACCTAACAAGTGCTTTTCAAATGATTCTTTTTCTATCCTTTCTTTGTAAATGTCAGGTAACCTACGGCATCCACCTCTGTGCTTTTTGGGCTAAAAAAAGCCTGGGAAAAGTGTGTGATTTAAATCAATTGTAATGGCAGATAAGTAGGAGAGACACCAGATTATATTCCTTTGCTGAGAATCTCCCCCACCAGGGTTTGGATATGACGTAATCAAGAGGCATGAAGAGGACGATTTGCTCAGATGGGTGCAGTTTTGCATAACAGCTGGCTGATTTTACCTCATCTTCCATCCCTTTCAGAGTATCCTGGAGCTGGAGAAGGAAAGAATTAAACTTTTATGCAACAACTTAAACCAGTACACCCAACATATTTCTGTTTTTGGCCAAACACTGACCACAGTGAGTAGCCAAGATGTCCCCGTGTCCGGTATACATGGTAGGGGCTGGCAGGGAGCATGTCTTCAGCGACCTTGTCCTGCTTCCCCTGGCTTTGCAGTGCCACACGCACATTCATGGTGCCATCAGCAACATAGATGTCGAAAAAGATATCCAGGCTCTGATGGAAGACACTGCCGTCTCATCTGCAGAAAATACATCCGAGTTCCTGTTAACCGATTACTTTGTAAGTATGGGATGGAAGGAAATTCTGTTAATGGAGAACCTTAGTCAGGTACAGAGATTCATTTAAAAATAATTGAGAACAATTGTAAAGGAAGCGTCATTTTTAAATGGAAAATATTGATTTTTTCACGGTTCATATAAATTAAAAAGCAATATCGTTTATAAACTAGGCAATGGAAATGTCTTTGATGTTCTCCGGAAGGGGAAGCAAGTCAAAGAGGGCTTTCGACTGAATCTTCATTCTTGGTCTTCTAGGAGAGTAATGCCAATCACAGATGTTTCATGACCGGTACATAATCAGTGTATCATCTTGGTTGTCTGTTGCTGCATAACAAATCACCCCTTAACTTAATGGCTTAAAGCAAATATTTATTATCTCACAGCTTCTATGGGTCAGGAATGCAGCAGGGGCTCAGCTAGGTGCTTCTGAGTCCCTCACAAGGCTGCCATCAAAGTGTCAGCCAGGACTGCCGACATCCAAGGCTCTGCTGGGAAGTGGACCGCCTCCAAGCCTGCTCGCGTGGCTGCTGGCAGGCCTCCGGTCCTGGCTCACTGCCGGCTGGGGGTATTATTTCCTTACCCAGTGGGTCTCTCCTCAGGGCAGCACACATGGCAGCCTGCTTGTCCCAGAATTTTGATTCAAGAAGACAGAGGTAGAGTGCCCAAGATAGAAGCATAGTCTCTTACAGGCTCATCTCAGAAGTGACATCACATCACATTCTGTTTGTTAGAAGCAAGTCAGTAAGTGCAGCCCACACTCAAGCCAGGGGCATTATACTCAGACATGAATCCCAGGAGCTGGGACTCATTACCAACGTTCTTGACAGTCCTTTGAAAACATTGGACCAACTTACACAGGCTTGTTTTGAGGGCCACTGGATGACTCTACTATGGCACCTGAGCTAAAAACAGAGAAGTGTCCCTACTCGGAGCCCGGCATCTTGTCTCTTTGCTTTTGGAGTAAGTTCTTGGTCTTTTGACTTCCTGACAGCTCTTCCTTTGGCCCTTTGCTATATTTCATTCAGACTTCTAAGGTCCATATTGGGAAGCTTACCTTTCTCTGTATATAGAACCAAACCACTGGTCATGTCCTTCTATAGGATTAAAGTGTAGCCAAAGTCAATATCCCAGGATTCACACCAGGGAACAAGAGGTAAGGGGAGTGAAAAGGGCAGTTAGATCTGGGCAAGGCAGGGAATCCAGCAGCTAGGAAAGTGAACTTCTTTTCCCTTTCCCCACCTTCCAAACAGCAGTAAGTGGCCAGCTATTTCTTCAATGAATCCTTTTTTTTCCTACCTTGGCAAAGACAAAGCAAATTAGCACTAGCAATGTCTTTTCAAAGCAGAAGCAAAGATAGAGATGGGAGCAGGAAGGAAGATTTGATTACAGTAGGAAAGTACTTTCTTTTTTTTTTCTTCCAAACAGTAGAGGTGATCCCTGAAATGAGAAAATGCACAATAATATGTATCTATTACTTCCTTTAAAAAAGATAATAAAAATGTCCCTATAGATTAACTTGTCAATAAAATAAGGGTCATTCTCCTTGAAAATTTGCCTAGGTCTCTATTTAAATACAAGGAGGCAGGCATGATGGTTTATCATTAATTGAGGCACCCACGGGAATTTTTGGTTTCTATGAAACTTCTGTGTACCAGAACTAACAGCTACATATCTGTTGTCTGAGAGAACGCACTATATCTTCAAATAGGCAAATAAGATTTTCCCAGTATTCTTAATGCAAACTGCCCTCAAAGTCAGACTGCATAGCCATGGCAGTAACTGCAGAGTGACTTTTATCTACGGCTATGAAATTCTCGTGGACAAGAGCTAAGACAGAACAATCTGAGCACAAATGTTGGAGAGCCGATGACCAGTGTGAACATATTTATAAGGTCACTCACTGTAAAGGCCATGTTCAAAGACTATATCTGTAGTTTTATATGCCTCATCCTGTATTAATCTTTTTTCTAACACATCTTTGGAAGAGAGGAAGAATTTAAGAAAGCTAAAAGATAGTAGTATACTCTATTCTCAAGTTGATCTAGTAGTGATCTTCCCCTAGAGATACATTGTTGAACAGCAGATGTCCCCCAGCTGACTCAATGAAGTTCTGGACTGGTAGGGGAGCCAGGATATAAAGTGCATTCCTCCAGCAAGGAAGGCCGGGGGGCTGGAGTTCGGCATCCTGTGGTTTAGCCAGAGCTCAGCTGGGGGTGTGAAGTCAGCTTGGGCTATAAGAAAACTGTTTATATGTAATGTATAATATATAAATGAAGTATATATAAATGAAGTATTCTTATCTGTGCATTACATTTTTATAAAGGCTATTCCCATTGCTCTAAATCCTCAGCTTCCCTTTCTTCGTGACAATCTATCTGAAGCAACCTTCCACCAACATTTGGGATCCTAGTTTTCCTCCTTCCCTGTGGGATAAGTCCAGACTCTCTCATGCCCATCTTCAGTCATTAGTTTCCTCTCTTTCTCCTTAGGTTTCTCTCCCTTTGCTACATGTTCAGCCACCTCCCCGCCCAACCCTAACATCCCAATTTTTTTTTCATTCAACCCTTGGCATATGTTTGTGAAAGTTTGGATTTTGGTCATGGTGTCTCACAGCCTATCTGATAAAATCCCTGTTTCTTCCCCCAAATCTGGCCTAAACTACCCAGACTTTTTCTTCCACTATGTTTGCTCAGCAGCTGGTCTGTTCACTGTTCCTGATACATTTTGCAGAGTCCCCACTCTGTCCTTTGCTTGAGCCAACTCTTCTGCTGGGGTTACCCTTTGTCCTCCTTCTCCTCCCTGAAAAATCCTGGTTTAGTCTTCTAGCCTCCTCAGAGCTTTCATGCCCATGTCCCTGCCCTTGGTGGGCCATGCATTCCTGTGTGCACCATTCATGACTGAACATGGCATTGATTTGCTAGGTCTGTTATGTTATGCTTCGAGGCCTTACTAAATTATAAACCCATCCTGGGAAGAGCTTTTGTGTTTCATTCACATGTTCCCAATAGCTAGTAATACAGAACACAATAAAATTTGTTTTGCTCCTGAAGCAGCCCTGGCTTGAGGCATATACATGATAGTATATTTGGACCATTAAAGGGCTCTAACTTGAATAAAGATAAAAATAGAGAGCAATAAGTACAGAACAAATAGATTTACTTATCCAGAAGCTATGAACTAGCTATAGTAAGGCTCTCCTCCAAGAATACTTCGTTCTATTAATGAAAGTTATCAGCTATGTATTTACAAGCTGTGAAAAAGAAGATGTTTTCTTATTAAGCAGGTCTAGAAAATCTGTATAAAACCAAAGGTTACCTGCTTTTTTTAAAAAACTTTTTCTTCCATCCAGCTAAAGTTAAATACAGTCAGCAAAAGTCTCAGTGCAACTGGGAGAGAAAACTCTTTCTTTTTCCCCCATAAATTGTTAAATGTCCTTTAGGAAGAAGAACCTAACAATGCAATGAATAAAGAGCGACAAAAGTCTTCAATAAAATCAAAACTGATGAGACTGCAGAGAGATATTGAAAAAGCCTCAGGAGACCTGGAAGGTGTGTAGTTCTGTGAATGGCCTGAAGAGGGACAGCATTCTCGTTCAGAGCTGGGGTGATCCTGCTTTTGCTGCCTGAGGCAGGAACCATCTTGTTTAGAGAATCATATGTCAAACCTAATTTGTGTGAATAAAGACAAATGTTTAAAAAGAAAGGAGAGAACAAGAAACTGAAAATGACATTGTGGTCTATCTATGGGAGCTAAATTAGTACTATACCACCTATTCCAGAAATGTAGCATTTTACTATGTTTCTTACATTGGCTGGAATGAGGGACCATTCATATGCTTAAAAAAAAACAACAACAACAGTAGATCTGTGCTCAGGGCTTTCAGTTTTCTTATTCATTTCCTTTGGAATTAACTTTCGAAACTATGTAAAAAGTCACTCAGGTCTATTCCTAAAGTGAGCCTGTCAGCATGTGCAGCAGCTCTAAAGTGATCCAGATGATAGAAACGACTCCCCACTTGTGTTTGTGACATGTACAGCTTATTTTATGTGAACCAGAACCCTATGTTGCAATGTAATACCTGACAGGAAATCCAAGGGAGCAAAAATGTCTACAGATGTAAATACCATAAGGTGGGAAAGCCTAACACAGGGTCAATGTCAGGAATCCACCACAAAATGGGTCACAAGGAGGATTCATAAGCTAACCTTGGAAAAATAACAGTCAAGATTCGTTAAGCATCAACCAGCGTTTCTCACCTTTCATTAAATGAAGGTGAAAGTCGCCAATTTGGTAAAATTGAGAAACAACTACCTACAGAAACAGCCCTGGGCATTTAGGAAATACTTCTGGGCTCAGGCTCCTGTGGCGTGGGACTCCTCTCAGCTGCGTCCCACCAGGACAGGAGGACTGTGACCAAGGGCATGATTTCATTTTTAGGACTCCAGCGAATGTTGAAAGCTTACTCCAGCAACTCCTTCCCAGACCCAGAGAGCCAGAAAAGCACAGCAGCCTTAATGGAGGAGGTAAATATTTGCGGAGTGCAGTTTCCTAGACTCAGTCATGAAAGAGTTATTTTTAGAATGCTTGTTTTCAGGCCCATTTGACCTCTGTTTGCCTTTCCTTTCTCATGACACAGAACGATCTAGTCAGAGAGCTTATAAGGTCAGATCCTTGGCAGAGAGTTTGACTGATCTGGAAAAATCCAACTACTAGGAACATTTGCTATAGTGTTCTCCCAGGAAAAAAAGTGTGCCCTAAATAGAATTCTCCAAAACGGAATCATCCCTTCAGGGTCTGGAAACCAAGGGTACTTTTAACCCAGTTAAGAAACGTGACCAAAACACAGGTTCTATGTTCAGAAAGGCCTGTATTTGGAGCTGTCTAGCTCTGCTGTTTACCGAGACCTGGGATAACTTTAGATTTCTCATCTATAAAATGGGGATATTGGTATCTACCTCAAAGGGATTTTGTGAGGATTAAATATTGTTTAGAAAAATGCTAGCACAGTGAGCAGTGGAGAGCTGAAAAACTGGTCATTATTATTCACACGCGGTTTCCCATTCAATCCTCAACTAACATCACTGTCTTCTGAGAATAACAGGAGGAAGGAAACATGTGGGGACGGATGCGCAAGGTGGCATCTTTGGCAGAATGGACGTTAAAAAGGCAACTAGCAAAGGCCCACAAATTTTATATGGGAACAAAAACGAACAGATAACTGTTACCTATGTGTATGGATTATGGGTTTTCTGCTGTCATTAGAGCAAGAGGAAGTTGATGGGTTATCTTTTCTGAGAAAAATTCAGGAAGAGATAAAAATTTTTGCAATGTTTGAAGGACATAGGAACCTGGACAAGCTTCCCTTGAAAATAGCCTAACTCAGCGATTTTCCGCCTTCTTCATCTCAGGGCACACGTAAACTAATAACGAAAATTCTGCAGCACACCAAAAAAAATATATTGTATTTTTTGCCGATCTGACAAAAAAATAGGTATAATTTTGATTTATTCACCCTGGACAGAATTTGTTGTGTTGAGTGTTGTCATTTTTTTTTTATTTATCGACTAAAGAAAAAAAGGTCGGTGCCCCTGACTGTCGGTGCTCAGGTATTGCATGTTTTAAAAATTATTGCAGCACACCAGTTGAAAAATGCTGGCCTAATTCTCTTGTGAGTAGATACCCAGTAATTCTGTGCAAGCAGGCAATTTGAGATATTCTTTGCTGAAAGCAGACAGATGCAGCCAGGCACAGTTTGTCTATTTGCTAGCACAGGCTTCCTTCAGTGGGGTGCGGTTGCAGGAACAAACCTAACACTCCCTGTGAAAAGAAAAGCCTGAATTCTGTTCATTTGCAAGCAGAGGTCTAATATATTTGCCATGACACATGACTATAATTTTTTATGAAATTATAAAATAGACTCTAGGACATTTTCTGTGACAACACAAAATGTTTAGTTAACTAATTTGATATGAATAATATTTACCAAAATAAAGTCATATAGAGCACTTTACGATGACATAAGTTATAAGTGTATTTCTTTGGTTGTTCCTCAACAGAATATTGTCATTTTTATTGCCAGCATAGAATATGTATTAGGATAGGCTGGGTACACAACTGGACTGATTCACACCGTGGAGGATGCAAGGTGGGAGAGCAACTGATCTCCAAGTTCACAATGTTTGTGATCTAGTGAAAGAACAAATGCAAGCCTTCAGATAGTGCACGCCAAATATCCATGTAATTTCATTACACACCTCAGCACCTTTTGGAGGGAAACTTGTGTTATTTGTAGATTTTGTTTTACCCAAGGAAGTTTTCTTGCAAGAGAACACTTTGTTTCGTTTAAATTCTTTTTAATTCACTGTTTTCTGGTCTTTGAAGTGCCATATTTGAAGCAAAAATGTTGGCAAGGCATGTTCTCTGAGAAATTGTTGCAGGTATTATCTTTAGATATGGGAAGGCGTGCCACAGAGAAGAGGAAAGAGACTCGCTCTGTGATGCTCTCAAATGCAGACTAGATCTAACGATAGAAGGTAAGGGATTGATTTCATCTTAGGGAAGCCTGCCTCACAATGCAGTAGATTGTTCCAAGGACTAGAGACCTTCCTCATCGATTGGAACTGACTGATGGGACCTTAGGGTTAGGAATCTGCATGCTGGATGTATGGAAAAGGGAGAGGCAATGGTGAGGAAGAGACTGGGTAAGCAGGCCCCTTCTAAGGCTTTGGTTCTGTTATTGATTCACCTTGACTGGACACAGACTGACAAAGAAGTCATCATAAAGTTTTTGGTTCAAGGTCAAATAGAGAATAGGAAGAACCTGAGTGTATCTTAAGCTTCAATCTCTATTTTTATAATCAAATACCCTAGAACATTGTTTCAATTTTCCAGGAGTGTGACTGTGAACTTTCTGGGTAATATAAGACCTCACCTCTTCAAGAAAAACAATGAAAAACATCAACAAAATAAATAAATAAAGCCTGTCTGCCTAGCATCATTGTAATTTGATTATATTGATGAGTTCAAGTCTATTCATGATGTTGAGCACCTATGCCTCAATTGCCTCTCCTCCAAAAGTCTACCTTCTACAGTTAATACTTATTATTCCCTTTTCACTCCTCAGCAAAAAATTTGGAAAATTTTTGTAGGTATTCACTGCTACAAAATACTGAGTAAAATATCTACCAAGGTTTCTGGTTTACCATGTCACAAGAGTCCAGATAAGACACATTCAACAACCAATGCTTTCCTTGGGAAAAGGGTCCATTTTTTCTCTCCTCAACGTGTTCTGTGTGTATCTGCATGTGAGTTGAATGTGTACGTTTCTACACCTCTTTGTCATTTTGGAAGTTGTCCTGATAGCCTTTTACCCATGCAGTTGTGCCTCATTTTCTAGCAATTTACTCACAAGGCCCAACGATATATCCACAGACCAATTTGAAACTAGATGTGTTGCAAGCAAACTCCTATAAACTGTCAGCAGTGTTAGCAGAACTCGAGCAAAGACCTCAACCCAGCCATCCTTGTAGTGACTCCATCTTCAAGTGGAAAGAAAAGGTAAACATTTAAGAGATTGGTTGTAATTTGGTTTTTTTTTTAAGATTATTTTAGGCAGAGGGGAAAAGAGGGAGTAACAGAGGGAGAGAAACATCAATGTGTGGTTGCCTGTCACGTACCCCCTACTGTGGACCTGGCCTGCAACCCAGGCATGTGCCCTAGACTGGGAATTGAACCAACAACCGTTTGGTTCACAGGCTGGTGCTCAATCCACTGAGCCACTCCAGCCAGGGCTGGTTATAATTTCTTGACAAGGCTTTCTGGGTGATGTGGCTTAAAGTAGCATCAGAGCGGGGAGGAAAAGTTGTTGTGAATTATACATGTCATATGTCCCAAATCTCAACTTCAGAATTTTAAAATAAATGTATTTTCATCTCTTTTGAGCAGAGTAATAAGAGCTAAATAGAACTGAGCATTATTTGTATGCTACATATGAGAGGTTAAAAGCACTTTGGATTTCTTCTTCCCTCTCCTCATATCTTGACTTTATCCTTTCAATGTGCTTTTATAGTAAAATTTTTATTAAACTGAAATTTTAGTATTCATACAAACCTAAATTACAAGGTTTGTGATATGCATTAGTTTCATCCATTTAATATACTACACAGTGTAGACAATGCATGAGCATGGTTTTTAAAAATCATGTACATGTATTTCCCAGTGTTACCCTCCTTAGGAATGGATGGTGAACACGTGAATAAGCATGGGTTAACTATGGCTTGAAGTGTTTTCTGTTCTCTATCAGAAGAGGGTGCCAGAACTATCTTGTGATCAAAGGACAGTTTTCTTTGTAAGAGATTTGAGAGCTGGAAAATGGTCTGGGAAGGAAGGAAGTGGGGAAAGAGGGAGGGAAGGGAGAGAGAGAGGGAGGAAGAGAGGAAGGAAGGAAACTGTCTCAATTATTGAGACAGAACTATGATGATTTATTTGCATTTAAGCCAATTAAAGTTGAATTTGTAGGAGTAATGGTGTGAATATTATTAGTTTACCTAGGTCCAGGTCAGAATTGCAAACACAGGCTATAAAATATGGTAATTGTCTAATTATGAAAATATTAAGCCTTTGGATATAAGAAAGCTCTAGAGTAGGGTTTAGGAACATAGCTAATGCTTTATTTATACCCACCTACAAAAAAAAATTTAAAAAAAATTCCTAAGGAAAACAGCTACAGAAGAATTATTTTTCATGAATACTTGTGTTGTTAAAAAAATTTTTTTTTAAATTTGATTTGAACAGCAGCAGACACACAGTTATGTAAGAATATCTCGGCCTTTTCTGATGATGAAATCAGGGAATGTTGTGAGAGAGGCATCTTCTGGTGGGCAGAGCAATCCAAGTTCTTCATCCACAGGTAATCCCATGCCCAGAATAATTTGGGGCCAAATCCTATCAGTAAAGCCCATTGTGATATTTACATGTTATTTTCAGAGCCACAGTGATACATCAGCTCAAAGAAATTAACATTTAAATGAAAACTCATTAGCTATTAGAATTTGTAGCTTTCTGTGCAAATGTAATCGAAAACGTGTGAAGGTATCAAGAAGAGTCAGGGGCTGGGAAATTCTATGAGGTGAGAGGACTGGTTCCATGTTACTCAGAGAGCTTGCAGTTTGCTGTGCATGCTGTCACCCATAAGCCTTTGGAAAGAGCTCTGAGCTCTGTCTCCAGAGCCCCCTGCAGACTCCCATAGAGACCCTGTTCTCTCTGAGAGAAACATGTTGGTCCCAGGGCCTACTTACCCTCTTTATTCATCCACCTGACTTCAGCCATTTGTCCATCTACATCCTACTACATTTTACCTTTCAACATGCACACATGCACACACGTTATTGTCCTTCACAGTTCAACTACAGTTACCATGACCTTGACTCTCTAGTTTCTTTTCTCTTTTGGGGGGGAATTTTTGTTTTATTGCTGTTCAATTATAGTTGCCCCCATTTTCCCCGCATTACTCTCCCTCTGCCCTACCCACCCCCACATTCAATCCTCCCCCCACCCTGTTGTCCTGGTCCATGGGTCCTTTATACACGTCCCTTGACAACCTTCCCCTTCTTTCCCCATGTCTCTGCTTCTGTTTTTTTTTTTTTTTTGCTTGTTCGTTTTGTTGATTAGGTTCCATTTATAGGTGAGTCTAGTTTCTTGATTAGAAATTGGCAAAATAAAAAAAAGTCTCAATAAAACCCAGAAAATTATGGTCCACATAGTGTATGAGAGACTTGCCGTTGCATGGTTTGAGAAGCAGTTCTGTAAGTACCTAGGATGATGGCAAGAAGCACGTACTCGTAGTGTCCCCTGTCTATACCTCAGTGGCAACACTTGTATATGATTTCCAGAATACACCTACAGCAGCACATGAATACTGCACATACTAGCAAAGTGATGTCGATTAAGTTCATGTGGGAAGCAAATAATTTTAAATTGTCATCTTTGTTATATTATAATAACTTTTGTCTCCACACTAATTTTCTATGTTGTGATATAGTCCTTGATTATATAATATACACAGTCCACACACATATAGTAGGTTCATCATAAATGGTGAGTAAATCAAGGAATAAGTAGTATGTAAAATTATAAAGTTTTCTTTGGAGAAGACATGAATGTTTCTAAGCTCTGCTCCACCCTGGTAAACAACTAACCAGTTTCCAGTCGTGTTCCTCTCACTTAATGACACAGCATTGGTAACTATAACCTGATCCACCTTCCAGCCTCCGGTGTGGCCCAGCACTGCAGCAGTCTTTGCAAAGCCCTGTACTCTTTTCAAGCCAGACAAGATGATGAATTGAGTTTGGAAGTAGGTAAGTTTCATTCTCAAATGTTTCATTGCTTTCTCATGTTGAAATCCTTAACTAGACTAAAACTCCACTCTTAGTACAGTAGTCTTAAAAGTTACAGCCATTCAACTCAGTTCGGGTTTATAATCACCCTTCTTAGAAGGCAGAGATAAAGCACATCAAAAATAAGGCTCATATAATAAAAATAGCTAACTAACATCTATTCAGTGCTTACTATGTGCCAGACATTATTGCAAGTTCATTGTCCAATTTAATATTCATAAAAGCTTTTGAAGTGGGTATTGTCACTTATTCCCATTTTATTGCTGAGGAGACTGAGGCACAGAGAGGTTAGGAATTTTGGCTAAGGTCATAGGCAATGGCAGTGCAGGATCTGAACGTAGAGACTCAGTGATGCTTAGTCACCACGCTGTGCGATGGAAGAATGGCAGTGATGAGTCATCAGAGGTGTGACCCGACCTTTCTCTTTTTCCAAAAGCTAACCACACAGGCATGGGAAGTGACTTCCTCTCCTGGCTAAGTGTCAGAGCAAGTTCTAGAATCCAGGTCAAAGGACTCCCAGATTAATATTTTTCCCATTTAGCTCTCAGAAAGTGTTTTATGACCAAGCTAAGGAAGCACAGCACTTTCTTTGTATCACAGATTTTTAGCATGAAAAGGTATTACGTAATGGGCTATATAGATGTCAACATTATTAAACAAGAAAATATCACCGACCTCAACGCTGCGTGTCCAGTTAGCAACCACGGTTGGATGTGAAAGCTAAAGCAGAGACCTGGAAATGAAAGGTTAATGAGAAGAGTTGTATTGTAGGAAAAGGCTTTCATCTGTGAACAGCACATGGACCCCAGAGCCAAGGGAAAATTAAGATGGATTTTTGAAGCTAAAGAACAGAGACTCCACTGATTTGCTATTGGTTAGTGGGTGCTTCCTTTTCAGTTTGCCAATCCGATTTCTCCGGGCAATTACTTTTCCTGCTAACTCAGCAACAGGTAGAGACAAGAAACAAGGAAATGGAAAGTAAACCCTCTTTTCCATTGTTCTTAAATCAACCTTCGCTTTACCTAAAAGTTTTAAGTGTTACAGAAGTCATTTTACTATTGGTGTCATCCTGAGGGTACCTACTGAGGGCAGTAAGCAGGTAAATGAAGTGCTGTAGTCCCACTTTCCATACAAATAGAAAACACAATTCCCAGATGCCGTCTAGAACCCAAGGTCTTGAGTTTGAATTGTGTAGTAACTTCCTTGGTTGCAAAGCCTACTTATACTTTATATCCTAAGTGGGTTTTATAAATTAAATGAGACATTGGGGCCTAGGGAAACTGGCAATAAGATTTGAAATTATCCATTTGAATTTCCGTTAGTAGACTGTGTCAATCTGCTGACCTGACAAAACTCATTAGAGAGCAAACTTAGCTCAGAATGATCTCCTGTAAATAGTGATTTATGACTGAGGAGAGGTAGAAGAGGGGTAAACAGTCTGCTTTGTCTTAAGAAAAAAAATGACTGGAAAACAGAATGAAAGAAAGAAATACTTAAAAATTACCTTAGAATGATACTCAGGATGAAGTAGCTTTGGGATCCTGAAGGAAGTCCATGTTTCCACTTCGATGTGCAGAAAGCAGCCAGAGAGAAGCGGCCTCTCTCAAAAGAGAAGGACTTGGCCGAAGGATTTGGAGCACCAGGTTGAGCTTTAGGGTTATTATTATTGGAATAGTATTTGTGTTGCAAAAAGAGAATTAGAGAACAGCCATGCATTTCTTGGGAATTCTTTTTATTTAAGTCATGGCTTTAAAAAAGTATTGTCTTCAAATTGACATTTTACTAAAGTAATCCAACCTTTGAATGAGGAGTAATATTTCTGTGCAAAGCTGTTAGATGGAATTTGGACTGTGAGGCTGGCACACATAACAGAGAGTTTGTCTTAATCTAAAGAAAAGCCTGGCAGCAGAGACATGGTGCAGCACACCAAACTACCGCAGCCACCAACAGGAGAAAGCCTTGCAGCGCAGATGCCAGGAAAGGGTTTGGTGGCAGTCTGTATCCAAAGGGAGCCAGACAACATGAGAGGGATGTAGGTTCCAATGTGATTCCCTTTCTGATCAAACTATATTATGACTCTGTCCATCATCTTACTCTTCTTAATATTTGCTGCCTTGAGACTGCTTCATACAGAGGTGGTCACTAAAGTTGGCTTCTTCTGTATCACGTGCAGAAAACAATGCTACCCAGTATCTCCTTGAAAGCAGACTCTTGTGAAAACTGTCTCACCAATTGAGTTCAGGCATGTGCTCAAATTGCAGAGATCCATTTGTCTAACTAAATGTGCGTTTTCACAGGTGACATCGTGATGATACACAAGAAACAAGATGGAGGATGGTGGTTTGGATCTTTAAATGGCAAAAAGGGCCACTTTCCTGCTGCTTATGTGGAGGAACTCCCTTCAAACGCTGCGTACACAGGCATAAGACAAGATTCTCAACACACCACCTTACTTACACTGTAAAGTGTACAATGTGATGCAAATAAAGATAAATGCTGTGATCTTTCCAGGTTTATCTTTATAAATGACTGATGGAGTCCTACCTGCAAGTGAGGAGATGGAGGGTGGAGGGAGGCAGGAAGAGGCGCATGGCTCCTAGAGTTTTTGAATTCTTAGGAGACCCTGGAGGTGCCCCTTCACAGTCCCTGGTGTCCCAGAGAGAGGCAGACTCCAAGGCAGGTTTTGCTCCTCACATGAAGTCACATCGTTTTCTGGTAGCAGAACAGATTCTAGAATTGAGATGTCCTTTTCCTCTGGACTTGGGTGAAAATAGGCCACAGTAGGCTTACAAGGGGATAGACTGGGTCTGGGAGATGAAGAGCAACAGGTTTAAGTCCCAGAAGACAGCAGAAGACAGGCAGGAAAGACGCTAGTGATATAGACCCAAGTGAGGAGACTATAGAACAAAGGGTCAGGAGCTGAGGTCAGGAGTTTGCCTGACCAGAAGAGGGGGTGGTAGACAAGAAGTCTACATACTCTTTGGCTGGTGTGGTTTAGTGGATTGAGTGCTAGCCTACAAACCAAAGGATCAAGGGTTTGATTTCCAGTCACGGCACATGCCTGGGCTTCGGGCCAGGTCCTAGGATGGGGGCATATGAAAGGCCACCACACATTGGTGTTTCTCTCCCTCTCTTTCTCCCTCCCTTCCCCTCTCTCTAAAAATAAATAAAATCTTAAAAAAAATAAGTCTACATACTAGGTGGGTGACCTCAGAGTAGAATGGAGTTCCATCCTACACCAGTGACCTGAGGGAGCAGCTGCTTATATACCCTCTTCCCACAACCAGAACTGCTCTTAAAATGAGGTCAAGTGTGAGCCTGAGGTGGCTGCAGATCTGAGAACAAGAGCAAGGCAGATGGGAAAGGGTTAGAAAGGAGACAGTGCCTGACATTCTGTCACTCCTGGCCCATTTGGAAACTATACCAATTCAGAAATCAGGAATTCTGTACTTCCCAACCAGGTCATTATGAAAGGAATACCCTGGGCAACTTCCTAGTAAAGGGTACTATTCTTGAGGATAACAGTTTAGAATGGAGAAACACGGTATAGCAGCATCTTTCAGAAAATGGCCTAAAAGTCAGCCTGGAAATCACACACTTCTCCACAACTTCAATGGAAGATATGGTGTTGATGGAAACATCTGGGCACATCTACATTTGTGCCAAATAAAGAGTCAGGATTAAAGCAGCAATTAAAATCCTTTCCATTTCTCTCTTGCCTTCTACTTCTTTTTTTTTTTAATTTGTCAGAGTTTGTATCTTCAAAAAGGAATTTTTCAAAGCAAGCATGTATGCTTTTATACCATGCACCATTACACTCCTGTAGGATATAACTTACACATAGAAACATGAATAGATAGAGATACCAGACCTGAAGGAGCTCAAGTAAAATTTCTTAGGTGAGACATAACTTCCAGCCTAGAAGAACAGATCAGAAGTTGTAATGTCATCAGTAATGGTGTATTAATGACAGTTTTCTGCACATAGGCTGAATAATAGACCATTAGACCATGAACAGAGATTTTGACTTTATATTTCCTTTTTATCTTATTTCTTTCCATTAGCCTTGATATATAAAAACTAATGTAGCAATTGACTGCAGCCTACACTGGATCCTTTGTATAGAGAAAGTGATAATGGTGGTTTGGTCCTGAAACTCTTTGAACGTAATTTTCTAAGAGACTCCTCTTTCTTCATAAATCAGTTTTACTTTGTAAAAACATAAATGGTTTTCCTGTTTTGAAATGTTGCTACACATTTTTTTTGCAGCTGTGATATGTAATTTTCAAACTTCAAAGAAATGCTATAGTCTTAAACTAGAACAACTTTTTCTTGAAGATCTTTTCAATAACACAAGAATTTTCTCACTGGACAGTTGGGGATGGTACCCTTAGATTTTGGTAAAAATACATTGTGAATGTAAAAATTAACACATTAGTACATATTGTGAAGATTAGTGATGTGCCCAAAGCTTCCATATAAAAAATAAATTTTAATATTAATATTTTAAACTTTTTAAAAAGATTTTATTTATGTTTAGAGAGAGGGGAAAGAAAGGAGAAACAGGGAAAGAAACATCAATGTGTGGTTGCTCTCATGCACCCCCTACTGGGGACCTAGCCTGCAACCCAGGCATGTACCCTGACTGGGAATCGAACCCTTGACCCTTTGGTTTGCAGGCCCTCACTCAATCCATTGAGCCACACCAGCCAGAGCTAATATTTTTAAACTTTTAATTGGATTTTCATAATTACACTCCACTAAGCAGTTTCATATGTCAGGAAGTTTTTAGCAACATTGACAACTTGAAATATAGGCAGAAGGAGGATCTGAGCAAGATTTTCACTGAAAGCATCAGAAGACATTATTCTAATTTACCTCCTTTCCAGTAAAGGCTAATATATCCATCCCACTATCAACCAGAAAAAGTATTAATTTCACTTTCAATTACCCATAGTAGTATTCATAATGGATATATGAGCTATTCTGATTCATCAAAAAGGAATATAATATGCGGTTTGGGATAAAGTAAATTTTATTGTACAGTATTATAAGGCTTAACTGATGATAATTTGAGCATAGTCTAATTTCATTGTCCCTCCAAGGAAAAAAACCCTCCTCTCCCAAAGTCTAGATGGCTCTGTGGGGTAGTCAGCCTGATTTGGAGCAAGAGCTTTAGTGTATTAGAATCAAAATAACATGCCCTATTGTCATTTGCTATAATGCATAGGAAGAACAGGGTGTATAACCATGGGAAGGTGGACCTGCAGGCATAGGGCACAGGAAGGTGGGACTCAAAGTTGACCTAGGGCATGAGGACAAGCCAAGAGCAGGAACCTTTTGTAGAGAATGCAGCTACACGGACAGAGCCACAAAGATGGAGTGTCAGAGTTCCCTGTGTGCTGTGATTCTGAGGGAAAGTCTGTGCCCCTGCCTCCTGCTGAGCAGCAGCAAGAGCAGGAGTGAGAATGAGCCAGCTAGAGAAACCAGGCCTTTCTGCAGACAGGACCTCAGCTCAGGTGAATCTGCTGAAGGGAGAGAGCCAAGTGGACACTAACCCAATCAGGGATCACAGGAATGTTGAGGAATGGAGCTTGGACAAGTGGTAGAGTAAACAGACTCTCACAGACTTCAAAGAGAAAGTCTTTTTAGGTAAACAGGCTTTCACAGAGTTGAAGCGAATATCCCTTTCTCAAAGGAACTATGGAATAGGAAAACCAACTGAGTAGTGCGAGCCAGCCTAACTGGCCAGAGGAAGACCTTGGTTCTAAGGCTCAGGTCTAATGATAGAGATTTGGGAACAAAAAGGAATCACACCAGGGAGTGTCTAGGAGGGACTGGGGCCAGGCTAGCCAGGTACATGAGGTGGCAAATGTGTCACTGATCTGTTTCCACTGGCTTGTGAATTGAATTGAATTTTCCTGGCATCAGAGCCAATGGTAAGCGCTTACTCCAATGGTTCACCAAGTAAAGTTCTGAGCCCAACTTTCACCTGGACCAGCAGCACCCATATAACCTCACACTACATTGGTAATGCAAATTACCGTCCCCTACTTCCCACTCAGAGACTCAGCTATCTGTGGTTCCACAACCACTCCAGCTGGTGCTAACGTAAGTTCACTCTTGAGAACCACTGATTTACTTGAATGAATCCTGAGAATACTTTCTAAACTATAGCAGACACACTGGGAAGAAGCACCGTTGGAGAAAGTGGAGAAAAACCATGCACTCAGGAAGCTGACTTAAAAAAGGAATATCCCCTCCTTTTGATCCAATAAGTTTTTTAAGATGAGTGGTGTTGGGGACCTCACTGGAGACTTCTTTCCTTATTGTGGAGGCTGCAACAGCTAAGGGCAATTTTTCCTATTTTAGGTTCTTCATTGGCCCTGGGAAGAAGGAACACTTTGACTTAGATTACATTCTCTCACACACAAAAAAATCTTCTTCCTCTTTCTCTGTCACTTACTAGATACTCTCATTGGCAAAAGAAAGAATGGATGGGCCATATCTTGACAATAGGGAATGAGAAGCAAACAGCTCCCCTGCCCCCTCAGCCTGTTCCTCGGGACTCCCCACCCTGCCCCCCTCAGCCTATTCCTTGGTACTCCCCACACTGACCTTTGGCTCCCATCCTCCCGTTCTCTCCTTTTTCAGCCCCTCTCCCTTCTCCGACCATCCCGTTCAGACATGGCAGACTAGTCCTGGTCATTTAGGCTCCACGTTGCCCATCCAGGTCTCCCTTCTCTGGTGCAGCTTCTCAGCCTGAAACTGGTCAGGTAAAGAAATATACAATCTACAATTTAGGAGAGAGAAAAAAGGAAAGCATCTGTGGTTACCTGGAATCTAAACTCAGTCCTCCATTTCTGACTTACCATTAATACAACCAATACTGTTCCCCATTAGGTCCCCGAGTGTAACCTTTTAAGGAGGGGAAGCAACCACAAATGCCTTCAGAGGCCAGAGTGGTAAAACTAATAAATGAAATAGGTTGAATGTCATATTTTAAGAAAAGTAGTGGGGATAGATTGAACTGGAGAAAATATGCTCCATCTAAAGGTATTTAAAAATATATAATATTCTGTTTTAGGTAAATTTTATTGTTCAGTATAATTCCCAAAATATTGTGCCCTAAAGATGAAGGCCAAAATATTATGATCTCCACTCTGTTATATATAAATTAGTATTCCTCCACCTCTATAATTCTTGATAGTATTCTAATATACTTAACAGAATATCTAATTAGTCAGAACATTTTTAGTCATACTAGTTGAGCTAAATTTGCTGAAATAAACCATAGGATTATATTAAGGTTCACAACTGAATTTTATTCCACCATGAAAAAAATGCCTTGGAATATAATGTCACTCCTGTTTTTTTTCTAATATTATACTAAATTTTTCTTTTAAACTGATTAATGAATAGCCATAGCACGTAAAGGTTAGACTTCTAGAATCTCAGAGACAGGAAGCAATATCAGAGATCACACAGTCCAACTCATCTATTCAACA